GGGGGGCTGCAGCCACGTAAAGTAGTTCAGCGCGGTTTTCCTGGGCTTACCACAAAATACGAGAAACGAGTGCAAAAGCGCGGGCGGTGGGGGTGGGGGCGTCGTATTGGCGTCGCGCAGTACTGCCTCGTTTTCGCGCGAGTTGCACCAGCAGCGCTGCCGCCGCCCGCCCGCCGCGGCGCGGCGAGGGAAGGCGGGAGGCAATCGCGAACACGAAATGTAATAACAACTACAACAAACGAAAGGCATGAACCAGTCCACTCTGGTCTTCCTGGGTCGTGACAAAAGGTTTCGTTGGCGCGGTGCGCGCGGGTGCTGCCGCCGCGCCTCTTACCAAGGCGGCGCGGGCGCGGAGAACAATTGTGTACCGATAACTTCCCATCATCGCTCGCGGGGGTAATTAGATCGGTGCTACCCGCCGTACTCACGTGTCACTCCGCTTCGACGAAACGAACAAACGGACCGCGTGGCGCGGGGCGTGGCGCGGCGCGGCGTGGGTGCGCTCCGGAACAGTAACGCCGGTAATGACACGGCAACACCCACGGTTGTGCATCAGCTGCCCCCCTAGGCCTACCCGCCGCGCCACCAGTTTGTTACCGACTGTTTTCATTAAACATTGTTGTCGGGTATTTATGAGAATTTTTTGAGGCTACTCTTGCAGTTTTCTCGGAAATCATTCCCCCCTAGGCTTGGCCTGCGGTAGTGGGAGGGGCGGAGGAGGAGGAGGAGGGGGGAGGGTCAGAGGGGTTGCTCACGGTGCGCAGATGTCCATCCGGGGGCGTCGAGAAGATGAGCCGTGATAAGTACAGCGTGATGATGATGATGACGCTGATGAGGTTGGCGGACGCCAGGTGCCGTGGCCGGCCCCGCCCCCGCGCGCACCGAGCAGGCCCTGCTGCTGCTCGCACCTGGCACCTGGCCGACGGGACGGGCGTGGCCCGGGCGTGCCAGGCACGGTGTGGTGGCCGGTCCACGAATGGGTGGACGAGAAAAGGGGCGGAGTCCACCCCCTCACCCTTCACCTCTGGCCGATGCCGATGACAAAGTCGCAGTGTTGTCCCAAAGGGCCGAGTGGGTTATCGACTTGGAGGGGGGGGGGGAGGACTCAACGGCCGCCGATTCACGTTCTAAGTCGGGATTGAATCAGTCTCGTCCTTGCGGACTTTGGTCTGGTACTCTCGGGATATTGGGCTGCAGGCTGCAGGACAAAGACGGGGATGAGACAGCGCCCGTCCCGACAGGCTCGAGCAGGTCGAGCTCCGGGGGGTTGGAGTGAAGGGTGCTGAGGTCCTGGGGAAGGGGAATTACCAATACTGCACTGGAGAAGGGGTCACGGCGGGACAGAGAGGAGGGGGGGGCAGCAACCACCGGCCGGACGAGGCTGGCGGCCAGCACGGCAAGGCGCAGCACGAGGGGGCCTGGCTGGCTGCTCGGGCTGGCGGCCCGGCCGGCGGCTCGCCTCGCCACGCCAGCTGAGCGGAGCGGTGGAGGGGAGAGTGTTGTCAGTCGAGAGCCGTCCTCCGAGCCGAGCAGTGCGCGTGTGTGCCGTTCTCGCGCTCCACAGTGACGAGCCGATCGCCGAGTGCGTCCCTGAGTGCGTGTTTTGTGACCCCCCGAGTTGGTGCCGTTCTGTAGTGCGCTTGTGGAGTGGATGCTCAGGATTAATCCACCCCCACAACAAGAATATCAGACGGACTGACCCCGGCCAATGGCTCCTGCTGCTGTGCCTGGAAGAGCATTGGCAGCCCGCCGGTGACAAGGCGTGCGTGTGTGTGCATGCACGCGCGTGTGCGTGTGCGTGTGCTTGTGCGTGCGAGTGAGTGAGTGCGAGTAGTGTCCGCCCGGTTCGCTTTGCCCCCGCGCGCCCCGCCGCGCGCCGGGCAGCCGCGAGGCGCGGCCCCGTCAGCGTCCTGGCGCAGAGCGTGTCCGGGCTCGTGACCGTCGCCATGGGGGTGCTGCGGTGGAGGGACAGGGCCGAGCAACGCCGGCAAGCAGACTGCCCCAAGATGGACTCCCAGCAGCAGGTAAACTAGCTACACATCACCTGCGTTGCATCTTGTACATTATATTTTTAGCAATATTTTTCTCGGAGTCTGCTGCCTGGTCCCGGCTAATGAGACAGCCGCTGGCCGTTAGCGTTGGCGGGGACGGTATCGCCGATATGATCTGTCCAGGGGTCTCGGCCGGCGGGAGCCGGGGAGGTCAACTACCTGTCCGCTGTGGAAGTCGAAAGTTTGCCTGCGCGGGAGCGTTCAGGAGCGAGCAGGCGAGCGAGAGGTCGTCGTCGTGGAGCTGTGGTGCTCGCCCCCCCCCCCCTTTTCCGTCTCCTTGCCGCTTATGCCATTACCTTGACTGACTGACGGGCTGATGCTGCCGCGAGACAATAGCTGACCTCTCCCCTCGCCCCCCGCCCCTTCGCCTCCGTCAAGAAGACGGCGGTGATGACGACCAGTCTAGTCTCGCCTAATTTATGGATAGCCCTGGTCTAATCCTCTTTGCTTCCCCTCTGCCTTGCTCCTCCGCCTCCAGTGCGGCACAGGCCCTCGGTATTGAATGCTGTTCGCTAACGGTCCCGCGCGCGGCGAGTGCAGCCAGCACATCGGACTGCGTCCGCAGGCGGCTCTCGCGCGGGGAAGGCCCGCTACCGGCTGTGCCCGGCGATGACGCCCTCCTCCCGGACGCGTCCGCGACCCGCGGCGGGAACCGCGAGGAATGCGCGGCCGGCGGCGCAGCGAGGCGGGTGGGAGGTGGACATTTAATATCGCGCTTTTGGGGAGGAAAAGGTAGAGAGGCCATTATTGAAAATGCTCGCGAGGAAGAAATAATAGTGGAGAAGGGAAGGATGGAGGAAGAAAATGTAGAAAATAAGAAATAAGTCTGCGCGCTGTGGTTGATGGTGCCATTGTTCTTTGGACAGGTAATGCCCCCCCCCCTCTCCTCTTTCCTCTTCCCACCGCACGTTCTCGCGGCGGGGGGCTGATTCCCCTACGTCACACACGAAGCCAAACTCTGGGCAGGACTCCGTCAGGACTCAGTGGCTCACCGTGAGCGGCTGTGAATACCTATAGGTCTTTCGGAGGCCTGGGTTATATGACCATGACCATGACCGTGAGGAGGAGGAAGGGGGAGTGGGGGATAAGGCGGTTGGTCGACTCGACTCCTCCCGCTGTCTGCCGAAAAAAAATTATACGTATCCTTCTCTAAGTTATTACGATAGAAGAAAAGACGCAGTCTTCTTGCTTCTTGCGCGTTGTCGCGCGTTGTTATTCGTCGCGGGGATGATTCGCGTCGAGTATAATTTTTGCATGCGAAGCAAGGAAGATGGGATTAGCAGGCCGGACTCGACGTGTGTGCATTCATCTCGGAGTAATGAATATACGGTCTGTCGTCCCGCGGGTGGTGGGGCGGGGGTCTCGGCGGCCCTAGGCGTGCGTGTACCCATAGCCCGCGGCCCGCCACGCCACTCCACGCCCCGCCACGCCGCGAGCGTGCAGAGATGTAACAGGACGGGACGGCATCAGGAGGAAGGACCCGGAGGAGTAGAGCTAATAATTGCCAAGTTCATCAGCGCCGTTAGTCGCCGCAGGAAGTGAGGCGAGAGTATCATAATGTCAGTGCGGCGGCAGCTGCGGCAGCTGCACCGCCGGGGGCCGCAGGCGCGCACGCGGAGGACGTCACCTGGATATGAGGGCCTGGGGCGAGACCGAGACCTCAGGACGCGGCGGGGACGTCGCGAGGACGACGCCACGGGCTCGCGGCCCCTCCCCTTTCCCCCTCCCTTCCGCTCCTCTTCCCTGCTGACACCGGACTGGCCGGCCTGCCTGTTGAATGCAGAGCCGATGATGCGAAGGGATGCTGTCGTGCGTGGTTGGTGTATGAGAAACTCGACGTGTGTGGTGAGCGGCGCGCGACTGGCCTGCAATGGCTGCTGCTGCTGCTGCAGCGCCTGCCTGTCATAACTGCAAGCGATTTACGGCCCGCCACTCTCTGGCTCACCTACGCGGGCCGGGCGCGCGCATCGATGTGTGCAGTGTCCATAACGCCGCCACGATCAGTCAAGAAACAGCAGCGGCTCAGGCATCAAGTCATTTTAAGCTGTTCACCGCGCGAGGAAACCCGTTATACGATTTTTGTCGAACCGTTCCTTTGTTTTTTCCGGCGGTTGGACTTGGTGTGTATCGCTCGTTGCTGTGGTTTTGGCGGATGGCATGTGAAGGTGTGCGGCTGATGGTCGTGTTGCGGTGCGCGATCGCCTCATGCATCGCCGTTTGCTTTCCCCTCACACTGGTGCGGTGTTGGGCTGCTGCCGTTGGCTTTGCTTTGCGGTGCGCCCCGCGCGACCAGAGCAGCAAACAGCAGCGGCCGTGAGAAAAAGAGACCCCGCGCGCCACACCGCCGCGAGGCCCGCGGGGTCACGGCGAGTTCGTGTCGTCCATCTGGAATGATGTGTGTCGTGTCGCCCGGACCAGTCCGGTCCATTTGGCCGGTAACGAGCCTGACTCATCCGTCTGGCAGGTGTGATGCTGTGTCTCTGCTGGACCGGATGGACGCTGTCCGGTCGTCGTCAAACGGATGTCCTCCTGCGTCGTCCTCCTCATTACACCCGTGTAGAGCCACCGTGTGAAGACCTGCCCCCCCAACCTCCCCTCACCCTCAGCAATCTGCCGTTCCATCCAACCCTTTGACGGGCTCCTCTCCTCACCCCCCGTCGTGGCGATTGATGGCCCGGGGGAGAGGGGTATGGGAACATCATCGTCGACGACGACGACAACCTCCCCGCCAACAAACATGCGCGTTTGAATGAAAAGTGTAAATGCGTGAGACAGGTAGTATGGTGGGGAAATATGTTTCGTTTGCTTTTCGGGGAGAGAGAAGATACTCTTACGGCGGATCCGAGAAAAAATGCGTTGGGGTTCAGGGGAGGGGGTGGGTGGTGGTGGTGGCGGTGGTTGTTTGGGGGCGCAGCTGGTCAGGCAGGCAGCTCTACCTTGGCAGCTGCACGGCGAACAACAATAGCCTCCTCGGCGTCCTCCTCTGGATGTCCTCCCCGTTGTGTGTTTGGCCGCTCTCGCTTTAGTTTTCGGGGGACTTGGCTCCGTTTTCAACACAAGAATGAGGTCGAAGACTAGGGGGCCGGAGGGGGTGGGGGGGTTGTCGTCGTAGCCGCCGTCCTGGTGCGTGGCACGAGCTGGAGGTGCACGTTGACGACGGCGGCCCCGAGGACGGCGATCACCGTGGTGGTGGTCGTATGGTGACTCGGCTGGTCGAAGTGGAATGCAATCACGACCCACTCGGCCCGGGGCGCGGCGCGTGCAGCAGGATGCAGCCGGGTCGATGACATGACCCCCCCCCCCTCCTCTCTTCTCCAACGGCTCCGCGACTCTTTTAGCATTCCGCAGTGAGAATTGCTTGCATATCTTTTTGCGCCGGACGGGACGGGCTGCGCCGGCTGCAGTCGGTACTTGCTTGTTCCCCGCACCTTTCGTATGTCGTGTTGTTGAGGTGGGCCCGTTTGGTGTGGCGCTCATGCTGGAGAGAGGGACTCTGAGATGTTCTGTATATTTTTACCTTCTTTTTTTCGTTGATTAAAAAGGATCGCGTGTCGTCGTCTCTTCTTCCCGCGCGGTTTTGCAGGCCGGGCCGCGTCCCGCCGCCCGCGCACCGAGACGTTCCCAGGGATAACCCCTCCTCCTCCTCCCCTCCCCCTCTCTGGCGCCGCTCGCGGCTTTGCAGATCACACAATTCCATTCTTAGCGGGATTTTCACTCGAGGCGCAGCAGCGGCAGTGCAAAAGCCTCGTTTGTGGAAATGCGCGGCTCGCGGGGGTGGCGTAGCGCGGCGCCGCACCGCTGCACCCCGCACCTCTCTCTCTCTCTCTCGCACTCGTTTGGCGGCCCGACACGCCTTGCAATGGCAAAGCCCGCCGCCGCTGTCGGCGTAAAGGTGAGTCTGGGGGGAGGGGCGCAGACCGAAGGTACGGACGGACGGAATGTTCGGCGAACGACTCTTTTTTTGTGGTGCGCGCCGGAAGAAGATGTCGGCAGAGCGTCGCACCGCCGCAACACCGCGCCCAGGTTCAAAGTCATCATCATCATCATCGTGTTGTTGCAAGCGAGTCGGTCGGTCTAACGACGAGAACGGTTTGGGCGGTTGGGAGAAAAGCGGGCAAACACTCCTCGAGTACACGCTATTTATGATGCCGCCGGAGAATAATGGTAAAAAAAAATATTAAAGAAATAATAAACGTTGGTAAAAAGGTGTACCTGGTGGTCTGTCGGGTCATGCTGGGTCCCTTTCCGTGACACCTTGCGCCGTTATCTCGCCTGCGCTGCACTTTATGGCGGAGCTCATCAGGGGTGGTCGCGGGGGGCGGCGGCCAAAAGGACATCGCGCATTAGCATACGGCCGGCTGTTATAACCTCCAATCTCACGACGCGACACGACAGGGTGGCGGAGGAGAGGGTAATGACGACGACCTGCTTGCGCTTGCTGCGCCAACCTCCTTATTCATACGAGTAGTGTATTATTTTGTATTAGGCGGCGCGGGCATTTGATGGCAGCGTAGAAGCAGCGGCAGCGGCAGCAGCAGCGGCGGCGGCAGGCAGTTTGCTGTGTGAGCGTGGTGATTGGGAACGTACGAACGAACCCCACCTGGGGCGGGGCGGGGCCGGTAGGGGGCGTTCTTTGTTGGCGTGCCTTTGGTCTTGCTGCCCCCTTGCTGCTAATAGGCGGCACCCATGCGAGGTCACAGCCTGCAGCAGCAGCACAACCCTTTTGAAGCACAGCAGATAAAACAATTAGGGTGGAAGAATACGGGGCAGGGTGGGGGGAGGGGGGGACAGGGTGGTGCACTGCGCACAGGTGAGGTTGGTATGGGTAGGCAGGGGCAAGGGGGTCTAATAAAAAGGGTCGACCGTTTCGTCGAACGCCGCGTTCGGTTTTGGTCTGTTTGCTGTAGGCGATAAGATAGACGGGGCGGGCCGGGCCATGGCGGGAGAGGCGAGGCAAGAGCCACGCAACTCGG